TACATATGTAGTATATTTACTCAAAATTCAACACGTAATTATTATTTCTGTTTTCATTAAACCTTACAATACTTCACGCTTTATCAGTAAACAAGTCATTAATTTTGTTCGCAGCTGAAGATAATGTAAAAAAAGCATGATATACAATTGCACCGTAAACAAGCAACACGTGCACGTAAATATGTAACTACGTGTATATACATGTACCTGTTTCTTAAACGATTACATAATAAATCTCGTACACTAAAACATTCCATTCCACGACTCTCGGGTTACGTGCCAAGTAAAACCATAGTAAGGTTAGTTAAATTAACTGTTATCAATTATCTAAACCAATCTTCGCGCTCTTCGCAAGTGAACAGAACTATATCATTTTTTCCTGTGAAGATGTGGATGATAACTAACCGATTTATTATTTGCACTTATAACACAGGATTATAGTTATTGGAAGAATAATTTTTTTCATTAACGAGATTCTGAAATAGATAACTAAAGATAGCATGCGCAAACAAACAATTCTTACACGCATTAATACATAGAGCGTGCATATCGCTAATGATGTAAGTTCAGTGCTGAAAAGTAATATCTAAAAATCATACCTAATCGGTAACAACTATCAAATCAATAAATTAATTGTTTTTATCTTTATATAACACATGTTACCATTCCTTTTGATATAATAAAGGAAGATTTGAAGGAGACTGGAAAAATGAAAATAAATGAAACGAACGAAAGTATTTTAATCGGCGATTCGTAAGTAATTATGTTAAGAATGTGTTGAAAACACATGAGCTGGGAGACCTTGACCAAGAGACAGACCTCGTTGGAGATGTAGAAAAACAGGCAGAAAAATTCAAGGGACGGTGGCGGTTGTACAGCGATAAGCGCATGAAAGGCGTTGAAGCTGAAGATCGTAAAATCCGCGAGGAAATCGGCGGAGGCGATTGGCGGATAAGAAGGGGCAAAGCGTCGGTTTGAAGGGCGTGCGGTGCACAGAAGAGAGGAGTGGTGAGACCAAGCACCCGATGGAGAGGGGAAAACGCGACTCATAAACATAGCGTGCTCGGTATCCATGCTCCTTTAGTTCAAAGTGAAACACGGTACGAAACCGAGCACAACGTAGTCTCTCGCTTTTTAGTGATTTGGAAACAATTCTTTCTTTCTGTCGAAAACATTAAGCGACGCTGTACGAACACCATACCGGTTGGACACCATCAAATTACCTGTTCCCAACTGGTGAAAGACCAGAGACCGGAAGCAACGAGAACGGCGTGCCTTACACGGCGAAGGCGAAACGAGTTTTCACTCAGTTTTAAAGAATCGGCGTAGCTTCACGATTGTTCGACGGATTCCTTTGAAAGCCAAAAGAGAACAAAACTCGCACCGCGAACTCTTGAAAGCTCATTCCACTGACGGATCGAGACGTACGTCAACGGAAATGAAAATCAGTTAATAATATTGGGCGAGTAAGAATAAAACGTTTACGTACACGATTCCAAAAACGTGAATAAAACTTCACGAATATAATCTGATCGTTCTCTGAGAAAAACTTGGTTGTCGGAGCCATGGATCTAATATACGTTCCCGAAGCCATGACCTGCGGCTTCATCAGGGGTCCTCAATACCGGGACTACGAACAACCGTGGAATAAAGACTACTTCAATTATGGTACGTTTTGATCGTATGAATATGAATCATTTTCTTTTTACTCATGTGTTAAGTTAGTCATCCGGGATGAACTCTTTATTAAGAGAGAAGCAGCGTGAACAACGCTGACGCGTTAATTCCCGTTAAGTCGACGAAAGCACGAGAATAATAAATCCGTTATCGCTTTTTTTACGTCTTACACTTTACAATGAGAATCACCTCGTTAATCTCTTTTAAAAATATATATTCTTGCCAGATTTTTTGCAGACATAATATCCTCGTAACGATATTTGTACATGGCTAACAGTCCTATCACATTTTACAGTCACTAGTGTTCTGGTATCTTAAGGAAATTAACGTCATTTGCTTTTATCTATATACTAAATTATGTTTCTCCTTATATTCATCACGGTATCGCTGCATAGGCGACATCAGTAAATAATATGACGCGTTATCATTTTTTACCACGTGTACACGTCGCTTCTTTAAAAAAAGTTAACATTCGAAACACGCGGAATGAGAGAACGTGGACTTTCAGTTCGCTTATTCTGAATCCCTGACCTAGCTTAACGATATATGTACATATACTCCCTTTTAAAACGAAAACAGAGATAGTGTACGTGACTAAACATATAGATACATAAATATTTCGAGCGATTAAACGTTTAATGAATTTGTAGATAGGATCGAACAAATGATCGATCGCTACAATCCATCGCACATTCACTGATCAGTTGCAGTGATCGCATTTATTTGACATTTAATTGAAAGGGCAACAAACGATTATAAAATTTAATAAGGCTAAACAGTTATATATAATTTGAAATCGTATGCTGTGTAGTACGATAGCATAAGAATACATCTCGCAGGTATTTCTGTGCTATCTACGTAGTTGCCCCTCCCTCCATGTTATCATCGACGGGGAACTGGTTTTCAAACGCAGTCCGCATTTATGTGTTTATCATTCATTACGTTTGAAAGTTATCACCGTCAAGAAAATTATCGGGTTGGGTTGAAATTTAAAACTATTTATTCACGGCGTAGGTGTGAAAATTGCGTACGCAATACTTCGAACAGCGCAAATTGTCTTAAACGGGACTTCGGAAAACGTAAAAGGTAACGCGAAACGGTAGATATACCGAAGGAAAAGGTACGCAATCAAAACGTAGTCAGATTGAAAACGTGAGCGAAAATATGTTTACGATCACGCATTTACTGTGGAGACTGCAATATAATATGCAAATGATCCGTTTCATTATAATAGACGGTGGGACGCTGTAGTATAGCGTTGACGCCGGTTATTTATAATTTACTACTGCTTATTGTCGAATGGAACGACGCATATTTATAGAATCACGTAATACAAAAGGAACAATAATTCTAACAACAGTTCCCATAATCAAAATAAACAGAATCAAGAGTATCACGTGATAAAGATCAAAATGGATGAACTGCGATCATTTTTTTTACCCGATCGTTAATTGTAGACGCGTTACACGTACAGTACCGAACAAAATCTTCATTGATTTCTCAAGATTTCTTCTGTATTATATGATGACTCTAAAGTCTTTGTCGCTCGTAGCAACGTTAACCGGTTTCGATGAAATTTTCATCGTACATATAATTGATATGGATTTTCAATATCTGTTATACAAATCCTGATTTAAATAAAGTTATTCCATTTTAAATAATGTGTCAATACTTTTATCCGGTGTTGCACATGCAATACGCGTATACCAACAATTTTTCTTAGAAGGTTCGCGATAATTAATTCAAAAATGTTTCGTGACTCGTGGAACCGGATTTCTGACTTGATAGTTTACATATTTCCGCGTTTAAATGTATTTCTATGTAGACGATTTTAGATACTGTTTACAAAAGACTCGACAAATGACGACACTTATCAAAAGACGAAATTCCATTAGTTGATTTACATACACGCATACGCTATGTGAAACTGAAACGAATTTTTTATGATTAATATTAGAATATGATGTATTATATAGCTTAATTGCCTTACGAAATTATATTTTATCTACTTGTTCTGCTATCGTCAAATTAGGAAGTGGGTATAATCTATTTAAGAGGTCTCACGTGAATCATATTTTCTTACGCGAAAGTAAAAGGAGAAGCTGACTGAAGGAGATACGTGCGACACGTCACGTTTCTCCGTTCGACGAAGGGCGGGCGTAAGATAAACTTCGGGTAACGAGTTAGATCAGCCAAACTGGCTACGTGCAGCAGCGCACGACGAATAGGCTTACAAAAATCTGATCCTGATGGCTATCTCTAGCAATAAATAAAACCTTCGAGATTAGAGACGAATAATTGGAAAACTATTTATAAAAGAGCTTCAATAATAATTTTTTAATTATAAGATCTAAAAATCAAACGAAACACTACAAATGAATTACAATGGGAGGATGTCATTATTTTTCAGGCAAGTCGACGCGAGTACAATCTCAGCGATTGTCTCAGCATCATGAGCAGAAGGGATTGTCGAAAGACAATTGTCTCTTGTGTAAGGAGAATAAAAGGCGAAGCCTGGCGGCTTATATAAGACAGAAGTCACGGAGGGATTCGTGTCAAGAAATTCACGAAGAAGAAGAAGAAGAACATGACACACCGAGCACCAAAGAAGAGAGCACAAGCATTGACAATCTAAAGTTGAAAAAAGTTTCCAAAGACAATGAGACAAAAGAAATCAAGTAATTCTAATATTTGGAATCATATCACTTTAACTATAATGAGCCTTTAAAGAGTTTGCACCGGAATGGATGTAAATGAGGAAGTTAATATGATAGCTATTAAGTTTATAAAGTACACCTATTGTTAATATTGTTATTTATTTTTAAATACTTCTTAAAGACTTCTAAGTATATACTTGTATCCAGATTAGTAGTGGATATCCACAATGTGGTTAAGCAATAATTTATTTTTATGTCTAAAGAATATTTTTTGTATAACTTTCACTCGGAACTTAATGAAATTAAAAGAGATATATTTGTTACTATTTCACGAAATTGTTAAGATAGATAATATATTAATGGGTATATGTATACTTAAAATTTGAATGCATAATACTTAACAAATAGTCTAATACCATTGTACACATGCATGACATGAAACTACAGAAGCAAGTATTAACATTATTCGATTCTTCCGGTTTCCACGATATTTCTATTTTTCAGTAAAGTATAATTACATGTCTATGCAAACAATACGTAACTGCATTTATATTTAATGGCAATTTTCATAAATATATTTAAACATTAGAGGTAAATTAGATTTACCAAATATTCAACGCGGAGTTGAATATGATTTGCAAGACTGAATTTACACGTAATACTATACGAGCTAAATATGTTTTACAACAAAGAGAATGTAACACAGATTTTTAGTACAATCATAAATTGTATCAAATGATACCTCTACTTATGCAAGTAACAATTAATAATTGCTTATACATCAATTATTATCGTAACATTTAGAGACTGTTAAAGAAAAGCTTCGTTGTAAAGTTAATAAAGAAAATTGTTTACTTAAAGTTGTGTCTAAATCACTTGAAAGTACTCACCTTCAGTAACCAAGTAAGGACAGATTCACGATACGGTACGAAGCCTCGTTTACGATTATTTGTACTTTCAGCCAGACATGCGATCACCTTTCCCAACGTAAGTAAAGATTTATTAATGGACACACCTTCCTGTAAAAAATAGAATATGAATTATATATCATTAGACATATTTATCGTACACATAATGAAGCATAAAATAACAAACCTTTAATCTATCACCGCTCGCACAAGTTTGACTTAATCTTTCACTACCCGCCAAGTCTACTAAATTAATTTTACTCCGACGACTGTCATCGACGAGTTCCTTAACCAGCTGGTTATTCACTGGAGTTTGTGTTAAAATGATGCTAAATATACTATGAGATCTTGAACTTTTTTCATTCATCCCAGTTGCAGCTGTAGCTCGTTGCGAATTACCTACTTTCAGCCAAGTCTAAAACAAATGAGGCTGATGTAAATATTCAAACGGTTTTACAACAACCAAATCTGGTCGGCATTATGAACATACTTGCAGATCTTTGTAATTTTGTACGCAGTGTTGGCTCAAATCCACGATATACGGGCCAAAGACAGGATGCTCTCTTACTTTAAGTGGAGCTCTTTTTACTCCATTGTTAACATTTGTCAAGAGATCATGGATTTTCTCGTTATAAATCTCAAAATAACTAATCTCTACTGTAGTTTTAGTGCTCGCGTTAGTAGAAACTCTTGTAAATATTTCTTGGCAAAATCTTGGGATAATACCAGCTGCCTCATCAAATTGTGTCGTATTAACTTGAGCTGATTCTTGGCCCATCATGCTGTAACTTTTCCCAGAACCTGTTTGTCCATAAGCAAACAAGCAGACATTATAGCCTTCAAAAGCATTCTGCACCAATGGTAAAACCATGCTTTTGAACACAATTTCTTGGCTTGCATGATCAGGTTCTGATGCATCCATATGCGATACGAAGCAATGATCATATGTAAAAGTATGCTGAACAGACTCGCAAGTAATGATAATATCTTGACCATTCGCTTGTACAACTGACGTAACTTTTGAATCACTTAACTCTTTCGCACTCAATGGCCTGACACGTATTCCTACAGTCAAATTGGTGTTCTCTTCTTCATACACCGTATGATCTTCAATAATAATTTCATTTGGTTTGCTACATGGTGTTTCTACTTGAACAACATTAAAACAATCAGGAGTAGCTTGTGACAAAATATTGTCACTAAAATAATGGGTTACAGGTGTTCTATTTGCAGGTAAGAAATTTATCTTCGTACTGCTTGTAGCTGTACGAAGTTTATATTGTTTAGGCGTACAAAACTCCATGTTTGGAGCTCTTTCCTTTAACGATGTTGTGGATGACACTTTCACAGATGCTTTATATTTTACATTTGGCATTGGATTGTCATGGAAGAGAGCTTGTTTCCTTGGGCATACACTTGCAGATTTCAATCGAGTTATATTTGTACCAAATGGTGGATCAGTTGACTTTGAATTTTCAACTGTATCACTCTCGATTAATATTTTACGTTTCTCACGTTTCGGACATCCGTCTTGACTTTCCACTCTTTTCCGAGGTGTGACAAGCGTGTCAGAACACGTCTCTTCTCTAAGAGGAAACAAATATATAATAATGACTTTTATTATTGAAGTTATGATATGAAAAGTAACTCACTGCTTATTTAAATAATTAGTATTTTCCTTATCGAAATTGATAGGCGAACTCGAAAAAATGGCACTGCAAAATCCATGTCTCACAGACTTTGGAGTGTTATGTGACATATTAACTAAACGTACGAAAATTCTTTCAATGAGAAGACATTTGTGCAATTCAAGTTTTCTCTCCTCTTTGACTAACCTCTTCAAATCCCGCTCTCTGACTCATACGGATCGCTGACGGTGGGATCTGCCAATGATTTCCGATCGTTCACTTCGTAACGAACTTTTTCATGACAACGATTTAAACACGAAATAGATTTTTAACAGGAATGAAGAGCGTGACACTTCCATTATATTTTAATGCTGCATGACTGTATATTAACTTATTCCAAACCGAAAACAATTTTCTAATTGAACTTCACCGATTTTATTTAATCGTAATTGCGAACATTTTTTCCGAATTTCAAATTTTCAAAGATTCCCAGGGCCAGCAACGCAGACAGGTGAATCAATGCTGCCAATACTTGTTAACATAAACATATGTTATATATATACTTCTGTGCTACGGATGCAAGATATACCGGAAACAGTACGTGAACATAGTACGTGAAACAATCGTGTCTTGATAAACCTGTGTAGAATTGCAGAAATGAGCACGATGAACGAGGATAGTCGTCGAAACAGGAACAAATGGATTTTACGACTTGCAATCGGCGTGTTTTTGTTACTTATACTTTTTGACCTGCCGGCTCTTTGCCAGGCTCACACTCACGAGAAATATCCAAGTTTCAAATATTCGAAAGAAGCCAACGAAGTGTATTCGGAGAAGCAACATTCCTCGCATCACCAGGAAATTTTACATCAACATAAACACGAGACTGATGACCATGATCATCAACAGTCTGATCGAACTTATAACGAAGTGATTTTTCGAGCCACCGCGTCCACTTTACTTATATCAGCAGCTCCTTTTCTGATCTTGTTCTTTGTACCTTTAGATAACACTAAAGAACGTGAACCGTTTCTAAAAATATTGTTAAGTTTTGCATCCGGTGGTTTATTAGGAGATGCATTCTTGCATTTAATTCCTCATGCTCTGGTTCCTCATGCACACGAATCCTCTGAAGGTGTACACCGACATGAACATTCTCATAGCCATGACGAGGAGGAATCAGCACATGGACATGACATGTCTGTTGGTTTATGTGTATTATTAGGTATTGTTGTGTTTTTAATGGTTGAGAAAGCAGTGAGAATCATAAAGACTGATCATACTCACTTACATGTACATAGTGTCACAGAAAATGTATCTAAAGAGATAAAAAAGAATGAAAACAAAGTGCAAGAGAGTTCTGATAAATCTGCTTCTAAGAAAACTGAAATAAAAGATCCTGAGAATGAAATAAAAATTGCTGGCTATTTAAACTTAGTTGCAGACTTTTTACATAATTTCACAGATGGTCTTGCTATTGGCGCTAGCTATTTAGCTGGCAAGAATGTCGGCTACATCACCACATTCACGATCTTGTTACACGAAGTACCTCATGAAATAGGGGACTTTGCCATTTTAATACAAAGTGGTTACAGTAAAAGAAAAGTAAGGATATGAAAACTAATTGACAAATACAGATTTCTGTATGCAAAAAGTAAAACAATATGTTCTTTTGATTCTAGGCTATGATGCTTCAACTTACTACTGCTGTAGGTGCTTTATTAGGAACTTATGTATCACTACTTGCAGAAGGCATGGGTAAGAACAATACAGTAGTTAAATTATAATGAATTCTATAGTTTATAATTTAATTGAACCCCCAGGTGATTTGGCAACTAAGTGGATTCTTCCATTCACAGCTGGTGGATTTATTTATATAGCCACAGTTTCTGTAATACCAGAACTTTTAATTGATACCAATTTCAAACAGTCCTTAAAGGAAATTATTGCACTTCTCTTAGGTGTATATATGATGGTACTGATAGCCGAATATGAATAGTTTTGTATCATAACTTTTTATGGCAACATATTGTGATCAGTTAATGAGAACTTATTTTGACTGCTGTAATAAGAATTTCGTATTAGAACTCATATTTTTACATTATAAGTATTTGATGAATGCTAGTGATTATTCTAATTTACATGGATACCAGTGAAAATGGAGTTATCATCGTAAATGTTAGGAAAATAAGAGAGAATATTTAAAGAACGAAGAAAATCAATACGAAATAAATCATAAAACAAAATAAAGATTTTATTTGAAAAATATACTATTGAGATATATCAAAACTTAAAATGTTATAAACTAGTCTAATGAGAAAATTCAACATTTATTAAACATTATACATGTAACATTTTTTTTTCAAACGTCGAGATATCTTTAAACATCAGTATCATTATATGTTCATTGATACAAATGATTGTGTATGCATTTACCTGTAATAATATTTTGTATGAAACAATTAAGACGTTAAATCTTTTATTTGTTGTAGACATTTTTTAGCCTCATTTATGGATTCTTTATCATCTCTAGCTTTTGCTAAACGTTCACCTTCCTTGCATCTTTTTTCTGCCTCTTCGTACAGACCTTTTGCAATAAGTGCATTTCCTAAATTGACATAAATGGAACCTAAGTCACCCATGTCTGGTAACTTTTTACCTACAATTATAACAACTTTAATTTGAATAATTCAAACAGGTTTAAATTGTAGTATGCTTCTTGTCAACATTACCAAATTCTGCTGCTTTAGACAGATATCCAATAGCTTGATCATATTTTTGTAACATGTGACTAACACTTCCTAAGTCATTCAATAAAATAACAGATTGTTCGTTCGCTTCGCCATTTATTTTTACAGATATATCATAAGCTTGAGTGAAGTAGTTCAGAGCATTAGTATACTGTGATTTCGTGAAAAGCATAGTTGCATATTTTTCTAAAGTTAAGCCTAACAATTGTAGTACATCTACATTTTCACTGTCTTTAGCCAAATGATTTTGTAAATGTTCCAGACAAAATTTGTAACCACTTTCAGCTTTTCTACAATATATAATATACATATTATATGTTAAACTGTTGTATGTGATAAGGAATTACGCTTACTTCGTATCTCCTGTTTTGTCGTATATATCAGCAATTTTAAGACTAATATGTATGACTGACAAATCATCCTCTGGAACTTTCTTGGCTAACAATCTACTTAAAACGAATTTGAACAAAGTTTCTGCCTTCTTAAAGTCGTTGAGATCATATGCCAAGTTTGCCATTATATCGTAAATATAAGTTATTCCATCATAATGCTGCAAAGTTTGCGCTTGGCGAAGTGCAATATGTAACATTTGTTCTGCTTTCGGAAACTCTTGTTTCTACAATAGTTAGAAAGACATCATTGAAATCATACTAAAACTAGTGTCTTCTTTTCATATTACCATTATCTATGATAATGTAATTCTTCTGCCTAACCTGAATTAATAAAATAGATCGTTTGATGGTCATTGTTAACTCTTCAATATCATCTCTTTCCCTTTCCTCCTTAGGTTTAAACAAATTAAATAAAAAACTTCCCGATATTACGAAAAATGTCGTACGCGACGGATTCTTCCATTGATACGAATTCGAATTGTTCTTCTTTATTCGACTAATTTCCTCTAAATGTCTGTTAAATATGTTTCGCCTTTGATTCGATAAACGAACATTCGCAGCGTAAAGAGATTTTGTAATCGTTCGAGTATATTTAAATGTATCCAAGACCATTTTTAAACATTGCATGGTGTTAATTCGTGATTCCTTATAACGCAGTTTCGTAGTAGTAGCAGTAGCAGCACTACGTAGATTTGTATAGATAAGCGTTATATAATTTCCTCGATAATGTAATCATTTATGCATATACATATATCTACGTCGTTATACACTCGTGTAGATTATTACAATTCCATAATGACAACAATAATATGTGTATTATAAGAAGTAATTGTCTTTTGTATGCGTTGTAGATGTTACAGTTGTTTTTGATTCTGTGCGCATTCACCTGTGCACAGAAATCTGTACATTATACGGCATAACAAGTTAATTAGTGATCAATTTGGTATCAAGTATACTGCACAGTGCACAGGAAGACAACAGGCATGCATACAGTACATATGTACAAAATCCTGACAAACTACGCATACTATTGTCTGCGATATATGCATATGCAGGGATCTATAATTGTTCGCTTGCTTATGCACGCATGTTGCTATTCAAATATTTCAGATTATCGAAAAACAATCCAATGTAACCCGAATAAAAAAGATGAAGTTGTATTATTTCGTTCATGACAAATGATAATATTTGTAATACATATGTGCATATGTATATACGTATAATATATGGTATCAGTGTCGTTATACTATTCTTCGCCCCACCCGTCTTTTTAGTATCGTGATGCTGCACACCTTGATTTCGTGCATTACGTACCTTTCCACCTCACGGATATGAGATAGGTCATATCACACAGGTAACAAAGTTCCAATTGTACAGTATTTCTGTGTACACGTCAAATATGAAGTTTATCTGTATATATGTATGCATTTTATTAAGCGATATTATTCCATATTAGATCGTAGGTAAAGATCGCGTGTGTTAAATATTTCAACGAACTTTAGTTCCTATGCATATCCGCGTTTTGGACAGATTTACTACTATCTTCGATTAAATAAGTTACTTAAGCGGTCTAAAAACACGTTGATTGAAATATCATTCACTATGATTCGCCTTTTCTCGATCCTACGAAACTATTTGTGCATTTTCCTGTATATTTGAGAATCGCATGTGTATGGGCACTCCCTATTTCTTTTTAAATCGTAGTATTTATAAACATTTCGTACAATATTTATTTTTTTTATGTTAACTGCTTAAACAATAAAAGTCATCAAGCAAACATGATAAGTAAATGATGTCTATTTAACGTTCGAATTGTGTATCTTTCTTACTATATGCGACGTCCTTGTTTTTTTTATTGTTTCTTCAGTGAAAATGAGTTCTCAAGATACAACTGATCATGTACCAGCAGTTAATTCACCAAGCATATCTTCAAGAACAAAGAATTGGGTCCAATTTGAAGATGAAGCATCTGTTAAAGATAATATTAGCACAGATGAGAAAACTAAAACGAATGCACCGGCTGTAATTAAACCCGAATCAGTTACAGTGAACGTTGAGAAAATTGGAAAAGCTGATAATCAACAAACGAAAAATAACGAGTATAAAGGTGCTGTGATATCAACTGAATCCGTCCAGATTAATTTAGATAGGTCAGGCTTAAGTCGTTCTATTACATCAGAGAGTCCAGATCTTAATTTACCGTCCGACGTAAGAATTTCCGATCCTAAAAGTGCTTCTTTAAAGACTATCGATCTCAGAGATGTATCAAATGGTAGAACTACCGTAAATAATATTATAAGCACGCCCATCGGGAACATTAGACAAGGTTTTGCTAATGGAGATACTATAGTTACACTTCTACCAGTTAATACGAGATGGCCATGGGTAACGCCAGCTAAATTTCGTCCAGAATTAGTGCCAGAGGAACTGATGGCTCAAGGCTTAACGGTAAATGTTTAGCTACTGCTCTTCACATTCTTTTATAAAGGATATCTATTGTCTTCATATGCAGACTGCATTCTTATTCATTCTTATACACCCACGTATAACGTTATGTACATTTTTGCAGCTTACAGTAGAAGATTATGTACACATAATGGAGCTACTTGTGAATGATGTACGTTTCAATATGTACAACGTATGCTACAAACGAATTCTTGTCCTTTGGATATTCACTGCGTTCATTGTATTGCTTGGCTTATTGTTTTCTGGAGTAACTGGCCTCACTTTGTTTGGGCTGGGCGTTATGTGGTTAGTCCTCAATGCTGCCGCGATATTCTTTTGCATGTTCATCAAGATAAAATTGAATCATAATCTTGAGAAATGTATGGCTCAAGTGAACAAGCACTTACTTCGACATAAAATATTGCTTGGATTGGATGATAGAGGGAAGATTTCGTGTCACAAAGTCAATCTCTGCTTCATATATTTTGATACTACAGACTGCATTGTAAGTGTAATTAAATGTGCGTTTAAATTAAAGTTTACCTAGGATCAGCCATCGTATATATGTTCCCTTTTCAATTGGAATTTCCAATTCAATTGAAAAACTTTTACTTGCTAATAATACACTCACTTAGTTACTTTATCTTAAAAACAGAAAAAGTTGCAAGAAGTTATAGAACGAGAAGAACGCGAAGGGCGAGTAATTGGTGAGGACGGACATTCTGAAATGCATCGGAAAAGAGAATTGCAACAGCGTATGGATATTGATGATAGTGATATCGTGATACAAGGCAGTACAACCACCAGGATTTCACGTAAACAGGTACGTGTGTGTACGTTATCGGAAGTATGCATATCATATCTGCAACTTTTTTCTTTCATAAAAAGTAGACACTATTTTCATCAAGTATCTAGTAAACTGTTGTTACATTTTATTTTGTTTCCTTGTAAAATGAAATAAAACTATTAGGGTAAAAGCGAACAAGTATTCTGCCGTTATGTACAACGTTGGGCAAAGGATTATTTACGTCGACGGTTGGACTGGACGGTCGATGAGGAAGGTGGAAATCCTTCTTCACCTCGCCACTTGGCATCGGCTTTATGCCCATGCCAATATATAGAGGAATGGCTACGCAATAAGCCCCATGTTCAAGGCAGAGATTTTTGTCCTAGCTGGAGTAGATTTCTTAAAGATAGAGGCATCTAATATAGCATTGTTACAATACACAAACAGTATTGCTCAAGGCAATTTTTATAGATTTAAAAACGCTTATATTTTTTAGCTCATCAGAGCTATTTTAACATGAATTTCGCAGCAGGAATTTTTTAACGAAAAATCATATATAGAATTATATCTCAAGATTTACAATTATATTTGTTGACACTATGATATTATTAGAACTAGATGGATAATCAAAATTTATATTTTACAAATAAGTTTTACGAGATGAGAGATACTTATAATTTTGTACTTAACTAGGTATGAAGGATATTAATTGCAATTCATTTTATATATTATACAATAAGGTCTACTTCTAATATCATTTTTTTGATGACTTGGATTATTAACAGACGTACATCATATTGTATTTTTTACTATCTTTTGCTGTTAACTAATATGATATTAAGCAGCCGGTAATCAATTCAATGTGTGTACAAATTTTATGTTTAAATTACACACATTATGCATTACAAGTTTGACTTCTAGGACTCTATACAGTTGTACATAGTATTTAAATAGTGCTAAAATAATTCGATATATCGATCATACGTGTCTCTGTAAAATGGTGAATAATGTTAAAGAGATAATCTGCTATGCATTTAGTTCTCATAATATATCTTCTGTGCATAGCAGATTCTTCGATGTTTGAATGGATTCGATCCATCATTGTTACTGTAGCTCTAGGTTTATGAATGATGATGGTATGTGTCGACAGGAACGGGCGGAGTTGCTGTTGCTGAGGTATGCATCTCGATGGGCACATCACTTTGTGCGCCGCAGACTTGATCTGGTTATAGACTCACAGGAACGTAATAGAGACATCGCCGGTCTGTCTGTTCCACCACGACATTGTGTCTCCGCCCGTTGTCCTTGTCAATTCATTGAGGAACATCTTAAATACAAGCCTAGAGGCAAGTTCATATTTCGTACATTCTTTTTCATGCCAGATTTTACTGGTAAGTAGCTAAATATCATTCGCTTCACGATTATGATCTGACCACGATATCTAAGGTAGTTGGATGAATCAGATACATGTTCCTAAGATCTGTCTACAAGTATTTGCAAGTTACTATTACTATTAAACATATATATTCATGCGTATACAGAATTCAGTTGATATCATCTTTTTTCAAAATACATCTTTACAAAGTATAACTTAATTGAAATTCATATATTCTACGTGACATCGAACCTCGTAAGTTCATGTTGTTTATTTTACTTCTAACTGACCGGAGTAACATTCACCATTTTACAAGAGACAATGGCACATTATATTATTTACAGAAATGATGAAAGAGATAGATTGATTGTTAATGTTTAGATAAGAGAAGAGAAATAGTAATCATTCCATTATAACACACATTATGCATTACAAGTTTGACTTCTAGGACTCTATACAGTTGTACATAGTATTTAAATAGTGCTAAAATAATTCGATATATCGATCATACGTGTCTCTGTAAAATGGTGAATAATGTTAAAGAGATAATCTGCTATGCATTTAGTTCTCATAATATATCTTCTGTGCATAGCAGATTCTTCGATGTTTGAATGGATTCGATCCATCATTGTTACTGTAGCTCTAGGTTTATGAATGATGATGGTATGTGTCGACAGGAACGGGCGGAGTTGCTGTTGCTGAGGTATGCATCTCGATGGGCACATCACTTTGTGCGCCGCAGACTTGATCTGGTTATAGACTCACAGGAACGTAATAGAGACATCGCCGGTCTGTCTGTTCCACCACGACATTGTGTCTCCGCCCGTTGTCCTTGTCAATTCATTGAGGAACATCTTAAATACAAGCCTAGAGGCAAGTTCATATTTCGTACATTCTTTTTCATGCCAGATTTTACTGGTAAGTAGCTAAATATCATTCGCTTCACGATTATGATCTGACCACGATATCTAAGGTAGTTGGATGAATCAGATACATGTTCCTAAGATCTGTCTACAAGTATTTGCAAGTTACTATTACTATTAAACATATATATTCATGCGTATACAGAATTCAGTTGATATCATCTTTTTTCAAAATACATCTTTACAAAGTATAACTTAATTGAAATTCATATATTCTACGTGACATCGAACCTCGTAAGTTCATGTTGTTTATTTTACTTCTAACTGACCGGAGTAACATTCACCATTTTACAAGAGACAATGGCACATTATATTATTTACAGAAATGATGAAAGAGATAGATTGATTGTTAATGTTTAGATAAGAGAAGAGAAATAGTAATCATTCCATTATTCTCTATAAATGAAATTGTTTGATAAAAATTGTATGAAAACTACTTAATATGTGCTTTTACAGTTGCAAAGAATTTTATAGAAATGCTATATACATATTATACATGTAATATTATTAATATACGTACATCTCTCGTAGTGGAAAATTATGTATAAATTACGCAGGTATTATCTGGTACTTCTAAAGAGAAAAATAATTTCGGTATTCTTTAAATTAAGGTAATTTCGTAAACTAAAGACTTGATATTAAAAGCAGCTGAAAGATAAATAATTGATCATTATTAGTGTTGTAAAATTGATACAACAATGAACTTATACATTTCCGTCCTAATTGAACATATCGACGAATTATGTGAAACGAAAACATAATTAATATATATATATATATATATATATTGTATACTTTTATATTCCGTTCGATGATACTTAATATATGTAAACGGACAGAGCTGTTCTACTTTTATATACATAAATCAAATGTAAAGCACTTTTATATTATTGTTGAAGATGTTATATAAATAAAGATAAACACATGATATGTATGTTTCCTTTGGTGAAGGTACTATTGTATTTTTGTAAAAAGCTTATTAATTAAAAGATAAATGAATCATTGCACAAAAGCGTGTCGCTTAGTCTTAATTGCCTAATTGTACCTTTCGTGACCTAAGGAAATTTTTTTCGAACATAGGTATTTGTCACTAACCACTGACTAATCCAGGGATGTTACTTGCATGCAGCTGGATAAAAGGCAACACATTTTGATAACTTATCTCGACTACATCTATTTCGTGACACACATTTCCATACGTACTATAATTGTAAGTATTGTTAGATATCATTTTATTATCATATACATTTAGAGTTAGAATTCAAATAATAAATAGTACAGGTTCGTTCTCTCATTTACGTGTAGCACAATGCAAAGTTTCTTTCATAATGTTGCTTACCGTGTTATATTTGATAAATTGTTTAATTTAATATATTAAGTGAAAACGTTTGCATAATTTTTTCAGGGTATCCACCTGGCTTTACATGGTGTTCTTATCTTAATGATCCATTAGTTAGGTACGACGTTTCAGGAGGCATCCCCAATTAGGATATGAGAAATTTAATCGATGCACAACAGTATTTTCTAAAGCATTTGTATAGAATAGTTACTATCTACTTTTAGTACACAAGCACAATGAAGACCATATCACAGTATCAAACTTCTGCAATTATATTATTCCTAAGAAATATATTTTTATATAATCCACTAGTTGTAATCATTCCAAGTAGAGGAAAGAAACAGGAAAACTTGGATTAATATTCATAAAGTAGTATTGCAAACACGTAGATGGGATTTAATTCACAGCGTTTATCGTTCTAACTATGGTGCCTTTTAATCGCCTATGGATATTATACTGGCCATGTTTTGTATTAAAGTTTTGAAGACTTACGTAGTTTAAGATTAAATTAGGAAAAATTATATTATTGCGTTATAAACTAAATTTTATGTATGAAATTTTTCATATCACATATACATACATGATACATATACAGATATAATGTAAGAGATCAATTATTGTAACATTTATGTAGCACAATGCAAAGTTTCTTTCATAATGTTGCTTACCGTGTTATATTTGATAAATTGTTTAATTTAATATATTAAGTGAAAACGTTTGCATAATTTTTTCAGGGTATCCACCTGGCTTTACATGGTGTTCTTATCTTAATGATCCATTAGTTAGGTACGACGTTTCAGGAGGCATCCCCAATTAGGATATGAGAAATTTAATCGATGCACAACAGTATTTTCTAAAGCATTTGTATAGAATAGTTACTATCTACTTTTAGTACACAAGCACAATGAAGACCATATCACAGTATCAAACTTCTGCAATTATATTATTCCTAAGAAATATATTTTTATATAATCCACTAGTTGTAATCATTCCAAGTAGAGGAAAGAAACAGGAAAACTTGGATTAATATTCATAAAGTAGTATTGCAAACACGTAGATGGGATTTAATTCACAGCGTTTATCGTTCTAACTATGGTGCCTTTTAATCGCCTATGGATATTATACTGGCCATGTTTTGTATTAAAGTTTTGAAGACTTACGTAGTTTAAGATTAAATTAGGAAAAATTATATTATTGCGTTATAAACTAAATTTTATGTATGAAATTTTTCATATCACATATACATACATGATACATATACAGATATAATGTAAGAGATCAATTATTGTAACATTTATTTTTATAACATGTTAACCATATCTATATGTTGTAACAATATAAATATTTTGTATAATTGATAATACATCATGACTAAATTTAATTCGCATGTGAATCAATTAATTTATTGCATGATAACATAAAATTGTTTTTATATTACAGCTAATTCAGGTCATTGGGCGCTGTTAATATTATTTGAAATTACAAGAATAGTTACGTTATTAATGCAGCCTGGGCTTGTTTCTTGATGTCATCAGCGAGCCTTTTTATCTCATCATTGTCAGCTCTCAATTGTTGTACCTTGTTTTCAAGAGTAGTTTCCAAATATTTTAATTGTTGCTTCATATTTAAATACATTTTCACTTTGTTATATGTATCAGAAGTATTGCTCAAATTATCTCCTGAAATATTATCTGAAAAATAATTATATATGAGTCTCAATGCTAGCATATGAGCAACTGAATATATATAAGAGTAAGACGTGCGGTGCGAAGTTGAGCTTTAGAGTACGAGGTTATAACTTGACACTTCGTATCTTTCAACAACTATTTCCAATAAAATGTTAAAAAGAGTGACACCTTTATTTATTATTTTAAATGCTACGTCGTTGGTTGGAGCATTGTTAAGATCTTCTAGCATATGTTCGGAATTCGGAATATTAGGTCGTGGTGGCAAGTTGTTTTTTTTATTGGTAAACATATCTAAATTCAATAGTATTTATACATATGTACATCTGCTCGTATTTTACATTAACTTAAGTCGTCGTCCATACATTTATCGATATTCATATATATCAGTTACTGATACGGAAATTCTGATTTTATCGCGCCAGTTATCCTACTCACAATCCTTCAAAATTAACACATTCCAGTTCTACTCATCCTACTGCTGTATATAATAGGATTTAACAGCATGCATGAATCGCGTGAACTCGCGACCAGGCGTTCTTTTGTACAAAATAATATTTTTCGGAAGACAATTATATGGAAGGTGCAAAATAAAAAACATATTTTTTATTTCTGAGTGCAGATCACACATCATCATTTTTTTGTAATAACAGAATATAAATGTACCTAATTCTATTAATAATACAATCAATAAAAATAAAGGACTGTTAATTTGTTACATGAATTAAATTGGATTACGAATGAGTTTTATTACAATGAATCATTATGTTTTAGTTAATTTATATATGGCCTGCACCCCAGTAGTCGCATCCCCCTCTTGCCTAAAGCAGGACTTTCTTTTACTCCATCTCCATCCCATTATTCCTATTATTCCTGTATCCATGGTTCATATATACGTCTTTATTCTACGCATGTTTGAATTTGTTCGATATGTAATTAGTTCTGTATCATCTAACAAAATTAACTGTTTGTAATAATAAGAAATCAATAGTTTACATAATTTTTCAATTATTATTACATTAGTGTCGATATTACAATTAGTATACTTAGAGAATTGTGTGTGCACAGCAGAACCGGCATGCCGCCAAAACGAGGTCGAGCTGCGAAGGTTAGAGAATAAAATAATTTATTGTTTCAAGTGAATATTTCACTTTGTTTAAAACCGAAAATATAATATTGAACTCACGTATTTCTACACGTTCCTTCTTTCTTTTATCAAAACATATTATCAAGGACTTCAGCTAATGTAACATGCGTTCGTGTTGCCATAAATGTTATTATATATTTTTGACTTTATTTTATAATTAGAAGGATTCTAAGGGAAGTAAGGATGGTGAAAAGAAAAGTAAAACACCCAAGGCAGAGAAAACACCGGCCAAGAAAACTAAAAGAGATGAAAGTGATACAGAAGAACCTGTACCAAAGCGTGCCAAAACAGAGGCAAAACCAGTTATGAATAAAACAGATACAGATCTGAACGCAATTGATTTTGGCTGCAAAAACCTAAGCGCATCTGGAAAAAAATACAATCTAAAAATTTCTAGTTGGAACGTCTCTGGCATAAGAGCACTCCTTAAAGTACGGAGATCATTCTACACATTTTAAATGAAATATTATATCATTCTGTTACTATTTTTTTATTCAGAAAAATGGACTTGACTATATTATGAAAGAAGATGCAGATATTGTTGCGCTTCAAGAGACTAAATGTAACACAGACAAGTTACCACCGGAAGTTAAATTGAAGAATTATCATTATTATTTCCTTGATAGTAAGAATCTTCGTCATTCAACGTAGATTTATGTACGAAATACTAAATTGTTTTTCATTACAAATAGGTAAAAAACCAGGCTATTGTGGCCTCGCATTGTACACTAAAGAAAAGCCAATTGACATAAAATACGGTTTAGATAATTCTGAATTTGATGATGATGGTAGATTGATTACTGCAGAGTATCCAAATTTCTATCTAGTTAATGTTTGTAAGTTATTTAAACATCGTAAGGCGTTGTAAAGTAAGATGTCAGGCTTTATAGTATTTTATGATATTATAGATGTTCCTAATTCTGGTCAAAAGTTAGTAACGTTACCAAAGAGATTGAAGTGGAACGAAACTTTCAAAGCGTACATAAAAGAATTAGATGAAAAGAAACCTGTTATTATCTGTGGCGACATGAATGTTGCTCACCAAGAGATTGGTAGAAATTTAATTATTAAATAAGTTCGATCTTAGCCCAGAGTTCGTACCATTTAGTTTCTATTAATTTATCTGTTGATCAACTTAGATCTAACGAATCCTAAAACAAACACAAAGAATGCTGGGTTCACGAAGGAAGAAAGGGAAGATATGACCGATTTCTTAGAGACAGGTTTTGTGGATACATTTCGGGCATTGTATCCTGATAAAACAGGTGCATACACGTTTTGGTCGTACTTCGCTAATGCTCGTAGTAAAAATATTGGATGGTAAGTACATACGAACTATTTGTACCTTAAAAATAGCATTTTCATGCTATAAATTTAATATACATCCATACAGGCGACTAGACTATTTTTTGGTATCTGAGAGGATTAAAGACGATGTCTGTGACAACGTCATGAGGGATAAAGTGTACGGCAGTGATCACTGTCCCATTGTACTTTATGTTCACATATAATGATATGATTTCTTCCTTTTAAATTATAAGTAATCGTGTTTTATGAATCCATCATATTTATTTCATTTCTTACAAATAAGATACTTCAGATTTGCTACCAGTTAACTATGCATGATAAACTAATTTATTATGTGTATGTACTTCGAAAACATATGCGTTTTTTTTACTGTACCTGTAGTTTGTTAACTTTTCAATAAATGTATAAATTAAAAAAATGTAATTCTTGATTTTATAAATAAACTTTCAATCAAACGAATGAGAATTGTTGTACACAAGACGGTGCTACATATGGTATGTATATATGTACGAATTTTTGTATATATTTGTATATATCTTATTCTATATAAAGCTATTCCACTAGAGGCGCCACATAAATTACTTACTTGCGTGCATATGACATTACATATTGCCGATTTGTGATAATTGTGATGCATTTTATAATAACTTTCGGATTTTCAATTCCTATCAACTCTGATGCGCACATTAAAAAAAGTAAAGGCATGGTTAACAAACAGAAAAAGAGGAAAATTAATAAAGATACAAATGAAGATACGCAGTCTTCAAAGAATATTCTAAATGTGGGCGAAACATCAGCCGAAATACATGTTGAATACGAACTCCTCCCAAACTTTAATTTTAAGTTCGATTGTCGTTGTTGGGAAACGGCTGCAAAGATTTACACTGAAAATAATGAATGGTGCTTGAAATCCATACCATGTACGATTAAAGAGAAAACTTGTTGGATCATATTTTCTGTTCATCATTTAGTTTACTTGAATGAACCACAGTTAAGAAAATTTTTCAATTACGTAATCGTGTTCCATATATTTTGTGGGAGGCAAAAGTTATCTGAAAGGTTCGTTACAGATATGGATTTTAATGGTACAATAAATATTGCTATTTTTATGTAAATTATTATAGAGCTAAGCAGGACAAGGTAAAGGGATTTTATATTGATGATGATTTCCTTGATACAAAAGGAGAAGAATTCCTTGAAATACATCCTCTCAATTCTACCTCTAAATCTTCAATCCCATCATTTCCTGAACCAATGATCATTTCACATGAAGATTATGGTGATTTTAATATTACTACATACCTCGAAGCAATACCAGGTATGAAAAAACAAGAAGAAATTTATAACAAAACGCGAAAAGTTAAATATTTAATATCATTAACAGTTCATTTAATATGAAAATTATATTAGATCGCATACATGAATATTATTTTCGAAAGATGTTGAGAAAGAAATGTTTTCCACCTGTGACTTTAAATTTCGAAGAACTAGTTTCGTCAACACCAAGAGGTACATCGATATCGTCGAAACGAACTAAAAAATATGCAAATAATAAAACCAAGAAGCCAGATAAAAAAAGCAAGCGGAGTTCTGGTACAGAATCGTTCGAAATACATTTGCCTGCTGAAGTCTTATTCTCTGGTAAATTAAATGTACTAAAAATACATATAAATGAGCAACTGACAGACGTTTCAGAAATGCAAAAGTATGATCTCCCCGTCGGGGAATCCAACCCCGGTCTCCCGCGTGACAGTGGGGATATTAAATCACTATTTGCACGACTTTGTCGATTGTTCAGCAAATTACTCCTTCGTTGACATAAAATAATTTAATCAACAATTTTTATGTCGCTTAGATTAAAATGTAGTTTTGTATTTAGATACAGGTACAGTTACCAAGTACCATCACATGGCAGACCGAAACATTTCGTCTATCTTAATTTACGCGCAATGCGCGAATATTTTATCGGACAAGCAAGTACGAATGAATCTGAATCCCATATCTATTAAATTGGAACAACTATCAAATCTACCCATTGATATAATAAGAGAAAACGGTTTCAAGTGTCTGTATGCAAAGATTCTCTTTGCACATCGCACGTTTGTTACACCGCATTATATTCCGGATAAAACGATGTGTTTCGAATTTATCAAATGTTTGCTTTGCGAAGAATTTCAATCAGAGGAGATAATTAATTTCCTTAATACACAATTCCTTACCGTTGAGGTAAACCTTCTACTCGATGACACATGATACGCAAAGATCTTCAAATAATGTGCAACCAATAAAGAGCTTTTATCATTTATATAGATAATTGGCATACGAAAAGTCAACGAGGCAATCTCTAATGAAGTTTTATTAGGTGTTACCGAATTCGATGTATCCGATCTTTTGCGAGGATTTTGGGACGTGAGGCTGACGAACGCGTTGATGCATCCGCGTAACATTTTTCCCGCTCAAATCGATGCAAATGTAGAAACAGGAGAAATCTCGTGGAAGAATTCACCGCTTACCGCTGATGTTCTCACGTCGTACAGTACACTGGTAAAAATTCGAGTTTGTCTGGCTTATGATTTGCGAATGCTTCAGAAAAAGATTCTCTGCCGCGAAAACGTGTTTAATCGGATTTTTCTGAATTTAAACGACGCGAAACTGGCCACTGAAATCTCGACTGAAGTTTCTAAGCATAATTCCAGTTTACTGAATCCTCGATCACCTAAGGGAGGCGGTGATTCAAAAGTAATTTTATATGGTGGCTAATTAATCTTCTGTTACTGAACTATAGATTGATATTTTCACGGATGCATGACTGTACGATTTTCTTCGAGAATTTCATATGTGCATTTCATTAACATATTCCAGGCACCGAGCGTACTAAGGCACGTTTTAACAGGTTTCGTTATTCAAGACTGCGAGAGATTCTACATTTTTCTCGAGGGTTTATCGAATGGGTATTTGTTGAAAATTTGGGAGAAATTGGCAAAGCTTCCTATTCAACAGAAGTGCATTTATTATAACAGCAATTATGTATTTGTTACGCGATTTTACGAAGACTTCATATCTTTAGGTGGAATCGTCTACATTAAATTGAGGTAAACTAGAGATTATTAAAACTACGAATTTGAAACTTTTGCCCTAGGCTGTTTAATATTATTTGTTTTTTTATCAGTATTCGCATTTCGTTAATTCCTTCAATACGTTAAGTGCTATTTCGTTTCTAGCGAGTGTTTGGAATTACAACTTCGTAATCATAACTTCTATATTGGTGAAACGAAAACGACGCTTCAGGCAACAACCATCAGAAAATTAGGATTAATCAATCTAGCTTTAACAATGAAATCTTTGTGTCAGACACGTTTATTTCCAGAGCCAAAAGATGTAAAAGCATTTATTGATAATATTCGTAAGATAGACGAATCGACAAATGGCAAATAAATGAATCACGAATGCATAAAGCATTTTAAATTTATTGCGAGTAGATGAAAAGTCGAAAGCTCGAAATCAATTGTAACTGCAGTCAGCATTTGAATAAAAATTGTATTTGAATGACGCATAATAATTAATCGATGCCGGTTAATTAAAGGGAAAGTAGTACTAAACTTTCTAAACGTACATTATTTTACTGACATAATGCGTTTAAAAAAGAGGGAATTTAACTCGAAAAGGATACACTTATGTCAACATTATATAATTTTAGTTCGAATTACATCAGACACCTTTTTATAGTTTCTATCGATTGAAATGTGCACCTCGCGTAGGAAACATATTCCACAGGTGTTAACATAGTTTTAGTTCTATGAATAACATTTTACGTTTCGTGTCAACATTGTTTTGTAACATTAATTTGATAGAAAAAATTATAAACGTTCTATTTAAATAGTCACATATACACGAGGCTTGGAAACGTATCTGTACTGATCTGTACTGTGTCCTAATCCTAGCACACGTGCTTTTCTCAGATTGCATAACCTAGGTACGTTTTTCATATGATTTCTTCGTTTAAATAAATAAGGAATGTATCTATGAATCCTATTTCTCAAATAATTTTGACTGAAGCGTGAAAATTCATCACATATTTTGATGATAATTGAAGTGATAAGAGTATTCTAAATTTCAGATCATGTTACACATCCAAAAAGGAACTGAACAGATTGATGGTTACAGATAATATTTAAACGTTCTTATGTACTTTATAGTGTACAGTAATTTATTACCTCGTTTATACCAAACAGAAGAATTTCAGTATTATATTTAGATAGTAGCAATTAGCTTCCATAAAGGTACATATAAATTTTCATTAATTTTGCATGAATGAGAGACAAGAATTATTTGCTTATTAATCACTTAGAATTAAAATAATTTAGTACTAGCTATTGTTGAAAATTATATGGAATGTATGATAATGGGAATGATCAATTAATTAATAAATGTATGTGTTGATATTGTGAAGTACAATTGTAACATCTTACATGTATATTACACATCTTACATTGCAGATAAATAAAATGGTCTCTCAAATATTTGATGATTCTCCTAAAGATATAAAGTTGATTAACTCAGATGATGAATCTCATAATTATAAACAATCTGGTAAACAAGCTAGCGGAATGGAAAAAGTACAAATGAAAAAACAACTTGGCCTCTTAGAGGGTGTAGCAATTATTTTGGGAATCATATGTGGTTCTGGTAAATTACATTGTATTTTTTATATTACTTTTGCATATCTATTCATAAAAGGAACTTTTGTTATGTAATATATTCAAAACTTCATGGTAACTTGATAATGCAAAAGAAATATAAGATTCTTCTGTATTTAGGTATTTTTATCTCCCCGAAGGGTATAATCACAGAAGTAGGAAGTGTCGGAGTCTCTTTAATTGTTTGGGTTTTGTGTGGTCTACTTTCTATGGTCGGAGCATTGTGCTATGCCGAATTGGGTACCTGTATACCTCGCAGCGGCGGCGATTATGCTTACATTTACGAGGCTTTCGGTGATTTATCTGCCTTTCTGTACTTATGGGCTGCCAATTTAATATTCGTGTGAGTTAACAAGTATCATTGCTGTTCACAGTAGAGTACATGTTTAATACTTGTCTTTAATTTCAGACCAACTACAAATGCGATCATGGGACTAACTTTCGCACAATATGTTTTACAACCATTTTTCCCTAATTGTTCTATCCCAGACGATAGTGTACGCTTGCTAGCAGCAGCCACCATTTGTAAGATATTTTATACAATATTTGCATTTAGCAGTAGAATAATAATTAATCTGTTAACAGGTCTACTTACATTTGCAAATTGTTATGATGTGAAGGATACATCGAAAATGCAAAATGTATTCATGTTTGCCAAGATTGGTGCATTAGTAATTATAATTATCACCGGGTTGATTTGGGTAATGTTAGGTAAGCATAATTTTAGTAACATCATAATATTATCAACAATGTTACTTACAAGTGTATAACTTATTATAGGACATACAGAAAATTTTGAGAATGCTTTCGAAAATACAATTACGGATCCTGGCAAAATAGCAGTAGCTTTCTATTCTGGTATATTTTCATATTCCGGGTGGAATTACTTAAATTTCATGACTGAGGAACTAAAAGATCCTTATGTGTATGTATCCATCCCAATTATTACATACTTGTCTTCTTTCAGTATAATTCATTTGTTTTTACAGAAATTTACCACGAGCTATATATATATCGTTGCCTTTAGTCACACTTATTTATGTATTGGCAAACGTAGCTTATTTATCAGTTTTAACACCAACTGCGATGATTGCTTCTCATGCGATTGCTGTGGTCAGTACTATGCATCTTCTATATTAATTAGGTACATCCATGTTTGTTAATATACGTTTATCGGAACTGTTGCGCCCAATTTTTATTAGACTTTCGGTGATCAAGTCCTTGGCATAATGGCGTGGACAATACCTGTTATGGTAGCAATATCCGCGTTTGGTGGATTAAGTGTACATATTATGACATCCTCGCGAATGTGCTTCGTCGGTGCTAGGAACGGACACTTTCCTTCGATGTTAAGTCATATTAATGTTTCACGATTTACACCCACACCGGCCCTGGTTTTTCTCGTACGTACGCATTACAAAGTATAATATTTCCATCTTGATTGTTCGTTAATACAAATATCTGTTTCTGATTTCAGTGTATATTATCTTTAACGATGCTGTGCACGAGTGATATTTTTGTACTAATAACATATTGCAGTATAGTCGAATCGTTTTTCATAATGCTCTCTGTAGCTGGTGTTCTATGGCTTCGTTATAAGAAACCAAATATGCATCGACCAATTAAAGTACGGAATGAGATAAATGTCAACATGAAATGAGAACAAAGGAAAAGTTCTAAGTGTTTACGTTTTCCAGATGCCTTTGTGGATTCCTATCACGTTCGTAGCCATATGCGCGTTTTTGGTATTCGTTCCCTGCTACGAAAGACCGTACGAAGTCGCAATCGGGGCGTTAATAACTTTGTCCGGGGTTCCAGCGTATTTCATTGGAGTTGCGTGGAAAAACAAACCCGTATGGTTTCAGAAATTTATTCGTACGTACGCTTATGTGGTATCATTTTAATTCATTTGTTCTTTTAGTAACTCTCTATTATTTCCAGTTGAAATTACTTATATTATACAAAAATTATTTATGGCTGCCAAGGAGGAGCAAGATTCTTTATACAATTGAATGGAAATTTGAAACTGAATTGGATCACGTACAATTGAAACATCTCATTCTAATATTAACTACATGAACAATGACAACTCGTGTTACGCTATTGTCACATGTGTTCTCAGTCAGTGTACGTTCAAATTAACGACATTGCTGTCTACATCATAAGAGTAATTGTCTATAGTTACCGAGCATTATTTATTTAAATAATTTATTATGTGTTTCTCTGTCCTTACAATCGCATACCTTTTTATGCGGACATCATTATAAATTCGTATAGTATTATAGAGTGTGCGTTATTTTGTATTTTTTCGAGAGAAGTTGAAATGTACATATTTATTGCTACACAATTCGAAACTCTGATTCAGAAAAACATTCGTACGAACGTTTAATATAATACTTTGTGAAAACAATATATAACAAATATTATATACATATTGATGATATGGATAATTTGTAGTAAAAGTTTTGATCGACATTTGTAATAAGAAATGAATACAAAGATAAATAAAATCGTAAAGTCATAGTACAGAAGTAATAATGCGACAATAACGTTTTATACTTATTCAATTCCATTCTTTCTTGTGTTTCACGTAAACAGTTTGTTATATGGCACAAGAAAAGCGTTATTAGAAAGAAGAATATGTATCTTCGAAAGTCGATGTATGTTCGAAAGTCCTCTAATAAAATTTAGAACTCGTTCTTCTTGTCTTGCATTCACTTGTACAATGAGATATATTTTACTACATGTATTGTATATTTATACACCGTACATGTTTATTTACATAATTAAGTATTTATGCATATAACATTATAACCACTTGTTTTTGAAATATGATTTTCTTGTTTAAAACTGATTTTACTGATACCACACGTCTGTACAGATATTGGTAATTTTTGAAACATTAAGTAATGGAATGTTGTATATTTTTCTATTTTTTTTCTACGCAATCTATAATAAAGAACAATTTTACGTACACTGATTAACAAGTAGCAGGGAAATCATCAACTTCTGTTTCTTATATACGTACATTTAATGTATATCTTCTGGATTAAACATCCCCTGTAATATAAAATTAAAATTGATTAGAGAACAGTCCAATACTTTCCAAGTCATATTTTTTATATTTGAGATAAATACTAATGAAAGATACAGGAGTTAAACGTACCTTAGCACGCCTTAGGATAGAATCTTTACTAGCATCGTATGGATGATCCTTACTTGGGATTTCTAATACTGATGGTATGGGTTGTGTGTGGCTGTCAATTACATGACGGATCATTTCAGCAACCTTAAATACAATAAAAAAAAATATATATTCTGATATAAGAAAGATACATCAAAGTGAATCAGAGGTCATATTAAAAACTTACATTTTGATTGATAAGTATAATATCAATATCGTCTCGTTTGATGAAGCGTTTGAATGTGTCTTCTATATCACTCACAGCTGTATCTGTAAAGGAATGTCATAAAACTGTGAACACACGAATTGATGAATATCTTCAACTATTTCTGTAGATATATGTGTAATTCCTTATATAAAGAGAACGTTAAACTGATGGATTGAATTAGAAGAAAATTGAACATTTTATAAATACTTACTTTTATCGACAACCATGAAATTTGGTTGACGATGTTTATTAATCTCGCCAACTCCGCCTAAAAGGAATCCCACGCAAGTATCCTGAAATGTAACTTTTGTAAATAAGTTCAGTTAAGTAAAACACTTGACGAGCACTCTATTCACCTCGTCACCGATCACAGCAAGGAGTTTACCCTTTCCTGCGGAGTGTAGAGCCATTGTGATTAAAACAAAAACAAGGGCAATAAAACAATTTGTTTAAAAGAGACTGATCGTTAAATTTACAAATCTTGATACATCAGCTGACTGACAGACACACCTAAGTATATCTGCGTATGTCTACCCAGTCAAACTACTTGAACATCACGTGCCAAACTTGTCCGATTGAAAAAGTAGCGGGTAGGGATGCAGTGATCTCATCATCAGAATTCCAAATCAGCGAATTCTGAAATTGTTCGACGTGATATCAATAGTACTTTTTTAATTCTAATCGAAATAAAGTTTACGGTTTAAAATGTAACGATCTAACTTTACAAGTAATCACAAATATAACATGAAATGGATTTAAATATGCACGCGATAATGTATCAGGCCTTAGGCTTTTGATTTGTCAAGCTGAGTTTCTAACAGACCGTCGTTATTTTTAGCTATTTTATACTTAACTAGCTATAAAAACGAAATCACGTACGTTTGTAAATTGCAATAAGCTAAAATCTGTTGATAAAAAAAGTTTCCTTTAATTTATATGATAATATGCCTAAACATGTGAAACACGTAATATTTTGGGTTATGCTTCTATATGTATTACAGAACACAAGTGCAATTCGTATCTGATAATAGTTGTATACGTAAATTGAAAAACGAACGTTTGTATTACATATGTAAAACGGTTTCATGTATTGTTTTTTATTACGTTAATAATGAGAAGATACAGGAACAAGTGATCCTTGATAAATATCCACTGAAACTTGATGCATATGCAGTATGATTATCAATATGCATTATGTTGTTTAGGTTATCGTGTTATGGAACTTAAGCGTTGCAAATTATTGTGTTTGTTTGTTACTGAATGCAGCTATAAATACAAGTACTTGTAATGAAATCCAATTTTCATTAATTGTGAATTGGAACGCATATATTCGAGCTTTGTTTCATATTAAACATGTTCAATTTGTAAGTCATGACCACTGAGAGAAGCATAACTAAACATTCGTATAAGTAGATATTTTAGCATATCCTTATATGAAATAACACTAACAATATTTAATAATAATACCGTGGCTTTTCCTTAATACAGTTTTCAATTCTGTGTTTTAGGAGTTAGATTTTCCCAACATGCACAGATACTGATCAGTTGAATTAATGTAATTGTTAATAAATAAAAAACTGATAAAATATTTGAAATGGCACTTGTAAGTGACATTGGTTTGTGTAAGAAAGTGGTTTCTGAAGACTTCTTAGAGAAACCATGTGCAATGACTGAAGGTTCAACAGAGTTCATGGTCGTGCCAAACGAAGATATGGAAGAGATGGTAATAAACATTTAAACACCTATCTATAGAATCACACTAGGTTCAATTCATTATTAACTAAAAATTATATACAGGTTGTTGCTGAAGAAATAGTCGTGGAAGAAACTACAGATATAAATGAGAATACCACTGATGAAGATATTTACAAAAAGAAAGACGACACTGAATATCTCAAGGACGAGGCAGAGTCAGTGTCTATTGAATATGAAGAAGATTCCATAACTTTGTCCACAGATAGTACGACTAAGGAAAAATGGATGCCAATTGTTAAAGAAGAACTATTGGTAAATGTTTTTAAAAATATCGTAACTTTTATATGAGATTACAAAGTAATGAAAGCAAGTTCGTTTGACTTAGTAGGTATACTATTTACAAGTATTGTAATGTGTATATATATATATGTATATATGTGTTTGTGTAACACAACAGTTATCAGACGAAAATGGAACCGAAACATGTGATAAAATAAGTGACGACCAAGATACAGATGAAGAAACGATAGCTACGTTTGTGACAGCCACTGGCCAACAATTAGCATTGTACGCAGTTGAAGACTTGGAAGAAATATTTGCTGTGGCAGTTTACGATGAATCTGGCGACCCACCGACCGATTTTCAATTTCTTTTAAAGTATGTATTTTTATTTATTGTATATTAACATTAGTTTATGTCAATGTTTCTATATGGTAATGGTTATTATTTACAGATCAGACGTTGAAAGATTAATAGGTGAAGGAGCCGTGAAAACAGTTAAAAAGCCAACACAAATAAGGAGGCAGCTATTGACTACTCAGTCGCCAATATTTTTTGCTAAAAATGAAGTAGCAAAGAACATGGTGCATAACGGAAATAAGTATATATCGAGCGAGAAAAAGAGGATAGGAGGAAAAGAGAATATATTAGAAGAAAATTCAAGTGCAATACAAAATTGTGATTTAAATTTGGCCACGAGACGAGTTCCTAAGATTATCTGTGCAGCTGATGAAACGCCGTCTAATGTAACATGTTTAATGATGGATGATTGTTCTGGAAATTTTGGTTTGTATACAATTAAATTCTATAACATAAATAACTCTAGCAAAGTGAAATGTAAAACTTCATAATACTTTACAAATTTAACAGATAATTCTGAGGAGTGTCAGCAAAGTAGTGAAAGCGATGGCGAATTTGTTGAACAATCAACTGTACAGTACATTTTGTACGATGGTGACCAATCTGACTCCGAATTAACGTTCGATGAGGTTCACGAGACTCTCCAAAATTTGAAATCAAATTTAGCAAATAAGCAAGTAAATGAAATAGTAGATAAGGAGGAGCAAGGCGATTCTGTTAATGAAACAGAAAGTACCTATAAAGTGTCTGAAGCTGCTGTGAAGAAAAGATCAAACTCATCGGATAGACGAGAGCTGATAAGAACTTTGGAAGACTCGCCAGCAGATGTTACATCAAATAGTACAAATTTAGATATATCGAACGGCTCTATAGTATATACCTCGCCGGAATCGTCACAAATACAGTACAAAACTAAGCGATCCAGGAAACAACAATTGATTTCCGTGAATCGCGACGATTCAGAGATTATTATACAACCGGCGTCACTTATAACGGACGAAGACAATAAAAATAAAAAAAAGAAGCGAACTAGGAAATTTGGGTATCGTTCGAAGAATAGCGCCACAAAGAAAATGAAAAAAATGAAACGGAAAGAAGTCGAGGTAATCGAAATCGATGTTGACGAGGGAGAAAGTATTTTAGAATCGAGACGGGATATTGTTGAAATAACTATAGATGATAATAAGGAAAAATATTCTAGCGACAAAGAGAATGAAATTATAATGGTCGGAGATTCCGATGAGGAATCACAACAGTCAAATTCCAAAACAGTTATGTTGCAATGTCAGCATTGCACGAGGAACTTCAGGCAACAGAGAGCTCTAGAAACTCATTTACGAGTTTGTTCAAAGTCATCGTCGAGTACGAACCGGTTCAATGAACAGAAAGGCGAAGACGAAATGGAAGAGGAGGGACAGGAGGAAGAAGTTGTTAAAAAGATGTTTTCTTGCAAAATATGTGAAGAAAAATTCGACGTAGCGTTAGCATTAGCGCGCCACGTACGTTTTATACATCTAATGAAGAAAGGTGAAGATAGTAAGTCGTCAGTGGAACGGCCACCTGTTAAAAAGCAATCAACTATGGTCAGGAAAGTTAAAAGAAAAAGAAGTCAGCGATCATCTTGTACGTTGGAAAAAAAGAAATTATGGTGTTCAGACTGTGGTAGATGGTTACCCAGCGTTGCCTTATTAAGAGCACATTGTTTACAACACGCAATAAAAAAATCTGGTAAGCTGATCGTATTGACCGATTTTCAACTGTAGTGAAAACGAATGGACAGTTCAAATGGAATTAATTCAATGTCATTTTTATGTTGCAGAGAAACAAATACGTAGATGTCAAATATGTAAAAAACACATAAGTTCTAGAATAAGATTTGTACAGCACTTACAGAAACACGCAGCGTCACAAACTAATGCAATACCTATATCAAATATCCAAAAGAAACTTCGTACGACTAGGTCAATGACTAGCAGAATAGCGACACTTAGAAAGCGTGGTCGTTCATCTCAGAATTTCGATCTCTACAAATATTGACGAAAAAGTTTTTCGATATTGGTGATACAAATATTGTTACTATTTTTTTTCTAACGTGAAAGATATATATAACATAGTGTTCATACTTCCAGTAACAATCGGAGATCCATATTTATATGTTTGTTGAAGAAAAAGTATCTTTCACATTAAACCATGTTACATAAGAATAGTTAAATGTACATATATATCATTTAAACTTACTATGTATATTATACATCATTTAGTTTTACACTGTCGTTATACATATATATGCATAATTTAAGTATTGGCTAACAGTAAGAGATTGACTTTTCCTAATTATCTTTTTTTATCAACCATACTGTATTCTATAGAAATTACATCAAGATAGGATTCGGCGAGATTTGGATAAACTTTTGGAAGCTTATATTGTAAAAAGTAAAATAAATTAGATAAGTCGATCTTTGTTCATAAGTTTAGATGTACATTGATACTTTCTCAAGCACTATTGTAAATAAAATGGATTGTATTAAAAATTCATGTAAATTCACGAATTAAATAGTACCTTTCATCTACACGGATATATTTTTAATTTGATCACAGTATTAACAATGAATACATTTGAAAATTCTGATATATGCAGTGTCGGACTATACGTCATTGTCATTGTCTAACCTCAATTAAATGTAACGTTACCTTAGATCGGGTAATGTCACGATCGAGAATACAACGAAATTTAACTAAAATAAATATGTATTTGCATAACGTGACTATAAAAGAAAAGACAAAAGTTTAATCTATAATCTGAGCCTTAACTACATAGGAGACATACCAAGTGTTTAGTTCTTTCGTTTCTAACGTAACCGGTATTTCAGAAAAGCATTTGGACTGAAGATAAGTCTGTAAGAAGATATCTATTATCAAGCAAATAGAAAAATGAAGGGTACCAAAAAAAGAAAAACTACATTGAGTTCTCAAAAACAGAAAACTCCTGATATCGAAGCAACAAGCAGCAAGGATGAATCGAAATCGAAAATAAACTGGAGCAAAAATGATAAAGAAGTATTGTTAGAAGCTCTGGAGAAATATGGATCTGAAAATATTCAAGCTATATCGAAGATGCTACCAAGGATTCCTCCGAGGGAAATAAAATCGAAAATACTTGAATATTCCAAAATCGCTGCTAATTTAGAAAATAATCAGTGCTTGGACAAATGGTTGAAATTATATCAACCTGGAGATAGCATGATACCAGAAGCATTGTTGTTTATATCATTGTTTGAAGAACATCCACCACCCTCTGAATTAGAGGGTCACGACATCAGGTACATGGTTTATTCTGTAATCTTTAGATTTATACTTCTTGGGTAGTATATAAAGTGAATTATGTATTGTGATTACAGAGCAATATACAATTTCCTTTATCGCTGCTGTTATGAAGAGCCATCATTATTTGACTTGTCACAAAAAGATAGGAATTTTTTACTTTTATTAATGGTTAAAGTACAACAAAAGATATGGCCAAAGTGCCAAGGAGAGCTCCTGCAATATGTTAGTAAAATTAGCAGTGCAAAGAAAATAAGAAGAGTATATCCAGGAAAGAGCGAACATTCCTTATAATCTTTTATATGATTCAGTATGACAGTTGTGATAAACAAAATTTGACTGCTGTTTATCACCTATGTTACTATAGGACTACTGTGTTTATTCATAATCCAAATATGTAAGCATAAATGACAAAGTAATTGGATTTATTTTCTGCAAGGCACAAATTTACTATCAAAAATATTGTATATTGAAAATTTCACTTTGTTTTACATACAATGTAATAAGATAAATATTTATTCCAAAGAATATGCTACATTAAAATATAAGTTTCGATATAATTGTAAGTAAAACCTATGTGATACCCATAAGATAAAAGAATTATTTTTATTTTCTTTGTATGAATTATCTAATATCCTTATCTTCAACAATATATTTATGGAATAATAATACAGTAAATACAAACTGATCAGAATGTAGTAGGCAGTTCGTAAATGGATAATATCATTCATTTTAATATACCTATACGTGGAATATATATATATGTATATATAGAGATATATAAATCGTAAATCAAAATTTCGAGCACATCAGTTTGCAACACGCAACATTTATTTACGCCCTCTAAAGCGTATGATGTATACGCATTTGCGTATTATATGATTACGTTTTCCATAATGTTTATCTACATATATCTTTCACATTTAAAAGAATACGACAAAATAAAAATAAATTGACTTTAATAATACGTAATTGCTGTTATATTATTTCAATCGAGTTCAAAATCTACACGATGTACAACATGATGTTTGAGGATTTCGAACTTTGATAAAATTCTCCTAATTATTAAACAATAATTAATTGTTTAATATTTCCCAAGCATCATCTTCAAGTTTTGAATTCCAATTCGACGAGTGGTTATCCGTATCAAAGTTAATTAACGCTTCCTCTTTAGGCTTGTCCCTCAATTTTCTTTGCATCGGTTTAGAATTTGTTGTGTCATTATTTTGTTTCGTGTCACTCCCCCAATCCCATTCGCAATTCGCAGTCGATGCATTGGTTCTAAAAAAGTATGGACAGAAAGAAATTATAGAAGCAATGTATGAATTATTTTTACTTACTTAGATTGTGACGTTTTCATTAAAGACGTTTTTTCAGTGGAATGGTATTGAACTGGATCGCTATTTTGATAAGCAGTAGAAGAACTTTGATAATGTTCCCTTGTATTATATTGATTCTGTTCAATTGAATTCGTTCCTCCGATATCACCCCATCCTCTTCTGCCTAAGTCTCCAACCTATTTTTAAATAATAAACGCTGATTCAGTGATTCGAGAGTTCAAGAAAATATATTTATAGAAACAAACGCAAATGCGATGAATATGTGATATTAACGATAAAAATATTGCTAATATGCAATTATCTACCTTGGAAGCTATATTATTAGCTTGAGCTCCAACTTCTTCCCAAAGAGTACCATCGCGTACCTGATATAAATGAAATAAAATAAAACGAAAAATAAAAGGCAAAATACAATTTTACTAAGCATAAAAACAGAAATGAAACACAACCAGTTAATATTGAATGTCAAATGATAATCTAATAACTCATTTTTCAGTGAAATGAATGTTGTAATTGGCATCTAGCGTGTACCTTTTGCATAGCCAGCTCTCCAGTTCTGATAGCGTTTTCTGTAGCCTTACTTGCTATTTTTGATGCTGAGGAAGAAAGTATTGACCAACCCTAAAAGATTCAATATTAACTAATGCGATGTTATTTACATACTTTTTATATTAATTAAGAACAATTATAATTATCTTACACTTGCTAGAGAAGATACTGCAGAGTCAAAAAATTCTTGCGAAGAACTTCTGGGTGGTGCCTCCATTTGATAACCAAATCCACCATATTTACCTCCTTGGCTGGGTGGAATATTCCTGTAAAAATAATCTCAAGTCAGTACATCATATGACATATTGAATCTTAAATATTAGCGTAAAAATCACTTACTCTGGACGATTAGCATTCTCATTTTGTTTCCTTGCAAAGAAAGCCTCTGTTTGGGATTTGCAACTGTTTACGTTAAAATTTTGATAAGAGTTTGACACATCACCTTGGTACGAGGAAAAATTCTGCTGATTTTCAGAGGATTGAAAATCCTTTGCCATGGACGTAGTTGGGCTCCAGTTTTCTCCACGAGCTAATGTTGCAATCTAATGTATTTCAAACAAATTACATTGCACAATTAAATCTACGTTTTTTTAATGCAGTTTAAGTATTACTATAATTTACCTTATCTCTATATAATGCTGCTGCTTTAGTGTTATATTTTTGTGTTATTGACATACTGTCGTCCCAATCTGGCTGTGACTCTAAAAATTCACGTGCTTTCTTATTTCCACCAACTCTCATTTTCTCTAATTCTGAATCTTTCCATTTGTCCATAGAAATGGATCTGACGAATGATAAATGAACGCCAAGTCCTCTATGCTTGCCAGAACATTCAAGACAGATCCATATACCATATGTGACAGAAACCCATTGAGGATTATGAGTACCACATTCGAAACATCTCTATAAAATAACAAGGTACAATTAACATATGGGTGGGCTATTGAGAAATGTAAATAAGTACATTACATTATTCTCATCTCTGGGCTTGAGTTCACTTAAAATTCTCCGAGTACGTGGACTGGCCATATTTTCCTTTGCCAAAATTCAGATCCTATCGTTTGTAAATATCTATTTTCTAAGCTAAAGATCCACCATACTATACTAGTTGTCCTCGATCCTCCGACGGAGGTTTGTCCCGTTTTTTCATGGATGATAAAACGTATAACACAATTAGAAAATAATTAATTCCGACATGTGCCTATTACTTAATATTCATACGAAACACTACCATATGAAAAACATAATAAATGCATCAGTTATATGCAAGTAAATTGAACACGACCCGATCATTTAATTGAACATTTGTCTCTTACGTTTACGTTTACGACCATTTACGACAAAAAGAGATAAGCATAGCAGCTGGCAGTGCTGGCACTGCTGGTAGCGCTGGCAGTGGCCAGTGGTGACCAATGACTACGATACGATTGCCAGTTCAAGTACCTTTAAGGATCGTTTTCACGCAACAAATAGTTTACCGCCACCGCCGC